CTCTACCAAACACACTCTCAATGTAAAACCGCTCTCCAGCCTAAATATAGAATACAATTAAGGCTAATTCTTTCGACTTCGATAACTTGGGTTCCATTAATCCAAATTATATTTTTTTCGAGCCAAAAATGCACGATTAATTACATTCTATCCAACAAGCCTAATATTCATATACTTATCATACTCGGTCAAAATCTAAATATATACGACCCAAATAAAAAGTGAAATTGCTATATATCATTCTAGTTCCTAACGTTTCAAAACATTAAAATATATCGTACAAAATTAAATTCTATTCTATGAAAATTTTCGGGGCATTACACTTGCAATTATCTTTATATCTGATAATGACAATTAATCTACCGATATTTTTAGGTTCACTGGTTCAGAAGATGAACAAGCATTAAACAAGAGATTAGTGCTGATGAAATGGACGTGATAATGAAAAACTATTTATTCGAATATTCAGATTAGGAGGCGAGAGGCCAATGTTGACTGTCTATTCCCAAGTTCCATTGAGGTTGTTCTCGGCCCCGTTTGGGCCACCTTATTATTTTATTAAAATGAAAAATATGACCGTTATCTATCATATTAACATTTAAATTCAAATTTTCTATCTCTTGTGTGGCCCCAATAACGATTATATTTTTTACTCTCATTCTACAATAATTTGGCTCAAACATGGGCCTACTTTGTAAGTTAATGCAATACGCAAAGGTAAAGTAGTCATGTCTATCTTTTGCTAGGGAGGAAATAAATATTTATAAATGTCGTGTCCCACCTTGTTTAGCTTCTCATCAAATGCTAAAATCATCGTTAACCGAAGTTCTAATCTCTTCTGTCTCGTATATATACACGTGCTTGTTTCGGCCTGATGAATATTAAATTAAACTGAGGCGTAAAGATGTCGAAAGCTTTTCTCATTTTTATGTTCACCTTGACGATATTACTATTCTTCCAAGCAACAATTATTTTAGCACAGAGTGGATATCTCCCTGAGGAGGAAAGTAAGGATCGTTTCTTTTATGTAAATCGTTTCTTTCTTTTCCATTCACGCGTGTAGTTAGAGTCTCCACACTTATTAGGCTTCCATTAAACTTCAGGTTATCTCTAAAAGTTCACTTTGATCAACATGAATCCGTTCACATTTCTATTTTAGAATAGAGTTTTTATTTTTGCAGAGAATGCTCTTCGTGAAATAGCTGATCAGATGGGCAAAAAGGACTGGGACTTTAACCTGAATCCTTGTCGTAAACTGGAAAGACCCGATATGCCATGGTACAACGATTCCATCATCTGCAATTGTACTTCAGCTGGTGGTGTATGCCACGTAGAAGCGATGTAGGTTTTCTTGCCGAAAAGCTTATCATCTTTTTCATTAGTTTTAAACTCATTTAGAAATAGCCATTTGTACTATTGAATTGCAAGGAATCAGCAATCACAGAAAATATATTCTGCTTCTATTGATCTTCAAGCAGCAAAATATGGGGTTTTCAGTATCTGATTTTGAGACATGGAATACCGTAATGGTTGGTTATCTCTTTGTCAATTCTTAAAATGGTATTTTAAGTGGGAATTATTGTACTTTTTTCATGCCTAAACCTCCCTAGAACTTATGGTGTCTAGTAATCAAACTTGATCAGCTTTATAGTCTATTTTAAATGAATAAATGTTATCTACCACCAGCATTGTTAGAATACCAGTTTAAATGTTACCATGTAATGGGTTCAATAAAAGATAGAATCATGTGACTCATTTAATGACACTTTGTGCCACCAAAACTGGTATTAATACTAGTGGTGCTAAATAACATTACTTATTTTATATTGCTAGTCTCTATCTTCCTCATTTTTTTAACCTGGATTTGCTCTTAACATGATATGTATACGAATTTCTGCAATAAACTGTGTCTGTGATATAACCATAAAAAAAAGTTATTTTTCTCCCAGAGGGTCAAGCATACAACTTCATTTCAC